GTCTCCAGCTGATGTCGCTGTTTGGGAAGGTTGTAGAGCCTTTGGGATGAGAGTCTTGCTGGAGGAAACAGGCCACTTTGTGTCCTCTTTCTGATCCTTGAAGCTGATGCAGTGTGACCAGTGAGCCCCCTGTTCCTGCTACCTTGCCTTACCCTTGCTGTAGTGGACCTCAGCTGGAATGGTTAGGTATTTTGACACAGCGATGTGCAAATTTATTAAGATGGTTTCCTTTTAGTCAGAATCTTAATTCTGAAACAGAGGCATTTGCTGTCACACATGGCTCTACTGAATGACCAAAAAGGAAGTAGACTTTACTTCTACCCCTGGCTAGGGACATCTTGCTGCTATGCTAGGCATCAGGGAACACGTGGCTTCTTGTGGATTCAGCCTCAGTATAATCTGTTGGGAGAAGCGAAGCAGAATGAATTACTGAATTCCACTCTAAGAAAACTTGCTCCTTCCAAGACTCAGAAACCATTATTCTAGCTGAATAAATCCATTAGATGGGTCAGCTCATTGTTTTAACCAAGTGTGTAACTCTCTCATCCTGAAAGAATGGTCACTTTGGACAAATGTATTACTTCACGGCAAGCTCAGGTCTTACATGCTAGAGTGCTAATTAAATTTTATTACTTGATATAAGTTCCTGCTTCTAAGTGCCTTCTATGAATGCAGGGTAGTTTTTTCTTTTTCTTTAAATGGCCCTATGCCAGACTAGATGTTGCCCTGCTGGGATGCTAATGTTCGATTGACAGGTGCTGTCCTGAGAAGAGCTATGGCAGTAAGCATAAGGATAGATTGATGGGGTTGGTTTATGCATGTCTGTTCCTAGATGAAATGGTTACCAGGGGTAGTGGTGATAAGAAATGTTGTGGCTTGGCCAGCTCCTGTCTGGCAGAGAACCTCTCAGGGCGAGGTAGCTGTCTCCACTCTCCATTTGGGGGCAAGATCACTGTCTCCATCCCTGTGGCTCTTGGACAATTTCCTCCTCTATTTGAAGTGTGTGGTTTCTCAGAGCTGTTTGACTAGGGGGCATTTGAAACAGCCCAGAAATGAAGACTATACTGAAGCTGGCAAAGAATGTATTTCAATGTTGATGGTTTAAAAAGATACTCCTAGTATCTATACTCATAAAAATAATTTTTTCTGAGTCAAGAAAAGAATCAGGACTAGAACATCAGAAAGCAAACCAGTGTGAGTTGACAGCTCCATTTGTTTCCTCGACATTTATCTGTTATTAGGCCCACACTGATCTTGTTAATACTGAACCTGTGCTATACTTAGCTGCAGTGCCTTCCCAAAATGCCAGAACCCTATTGTCAGCATTCCTCTGGGACTTTGAAACAGAATTCATAGGGGACTTTTTGGTGCTGTTTTGATGTCTATCTGGGCACCATGGTACTAGGCAGTGGATGCCTACTGCCTGGCTGTTAAGTGACATCCTGGACATTTCTCAATCACAGTCCCTTAGGCACCTTCTATCATCATCACAAACAAGAAGTCTGCCAGCTGGAGCCAGCCTGCCTGTGACTGTCACTTGTCATATATTCTGGGAACCCCTTCTCATCTTCTCCTGGCGAGCTTGTGGCACCTTTGGACAGTCACTTTGACATCTTGGCATGTGTGTGAGCCAATGTTGTACTAGATAAGTAACATGCATGGTGTGGATAACACATTGTTAAAGTGAGAAGCTTAATTCTGAAACAGAGGGATTTGCTGTCACACATGGCTCTACCGAATGACCAAAATCTGCAGAGCAAAAGTTTGTACTCTTTCCTAGCCCTGGAGGAAATATAACTTGATTCTTGGTTCTGCGTGAGGTCTTCTGGATCATTATTGATGCACCGTGCTTCTGTGGACAGTGGGTACTCACAAGGCTGTTTCCCTTGGAGTGTTAGTGACTTTTCCTAGGGAGACATGAACAAATATCTACTCACCCCAGATAGGGCACCAAAGACAGAACAAATGATTTGGTGCTAATTCTACCAAAGTTCAATTTAGTGACATAATGAGTTTATTGGTGTTACTTATAGGAGTATGGATGATGACTTACAGGAGTATGGATGACTTAAAGATAGCTGCATCACTTAGAAGGTCCATCCACCCCAGTCTACATGATGACTCACAAAAAAATTCTTGGAGTTCTCTGCATGTTCTCAACTGACAGATCTAGAGTAGAGGAGGGTCTACTTTCCCCAGTAGTCATTATTGCTTTTATAATCTTGAAGAAGAGGGTCCATGAATCTTGTAAATTTCAGAAACTTCCTGAGACTTGTGAGATGTTTATTTTCTGAGTATTAAGGAGCCTTCTTTGGGAGTGAAAGGTTTAAATTCAGAGGAAACTGGTTTACCATGGTGGGGATAGGGGGTGGACTGTCCAGAATGCTGGTATACACCATCTAGTCTTTCTTCCTTTTGGGCCCAGGGACATCACACTTCTTCACATATAACAGTTAGATTGTGCTCATTTCTAGGCAAAGAAACAATATGTTTGTCAATCTGGCTGAGGCAGTGATGAGACCATGTGTGGCTCTCATAGTATCCTTCCCTATAGTGAATTTGGAAGACTCTTGTGCCTATGTAACTTAAGATAAAGCATGCTGGATTATTGAAGTCCCTGAAGGTTGCCCAGACCCACAGAGGATCAGCATGTAATGAACTTCTGCTTGTGAAACCACTGAGGTTTGTTAATTGCTTATTACTGCACCTATGCTAATTATACCCTGTGATAAGGGGTACACGAATATGGGTATGACAGGTAGGGATCTGCCTGAACATTCCAAGGTCAGCCGAAGATGGTGACCTACAAGAAAAAAGGATTCAATTACCAATGGGATACAAGAAAAGTGAACACAGGTGGAAGAAAAGGGCTAGGATATTAACCGATAAAGTACTTGAAATCATGAGAACCTGACCAATACCCAGAATCCATGTAAAAAATTCTAGACATGGTGTTATGCTCTTGTAATCCCAGGACTGGGGAAATAGAGATAGGTGGATCTCTGGTGCTTGCTGGCCAGACAGCTTAGTCTACATGCTAGGCCCAGGCCAGTGACATACATGCATATGCATGCACACGTATGCACAAAGAAATGGAGGAACAGGAAGTTTACATAGGGCAGTAGAAGCAGAAGCATACGTGGGGATATGGATAGGTGGGCTGAGCTGGTATTTGGCTTGTGAGAAATGGAACACTTTTTTATGTTTCAGAACAACTTACGTCCCATCGGAGTGACCACTACCAAAGAGGATTCCTAGGGTAGAGGCTCATATCTACTGGGTTTGATTTCAAACAATGCTGCCCACTGTAAACGCCAGAACCAATAGTTTCTTCTCAGGTGTTGGTGTGTCTTAGAGAGTTGACACAGTATGTGCTGCGTGTACACTGCTTCTTAGGGTCCCTCTATGTGGTCAAGCCACACAAAGAAGTATCTCATAAGCCTTCGAGGGTGTCTTCCATGCCTTGTGGATGTCCCCTCACTGCTGAGGTACTCTGGAGCTACATCCCAGACAACCCTTGGCATTCAAACACTTTCCTGAGGGTGTGCTTCTAAAGGGAAGATTCTTTGTCAATTCTTTGTTAAGGTGACTGTCTATGCCTGTGAATGTAAAGAGACCTCAGGAAAAAGAATTTCCCATACTCTTACATGGAAAGACAAAGATTAAAGTGTGGGAACTGTCTTTTGTTGGCACCATGGTTGCAATATCTATCCAGACATAATTCAAAAAGCTACTTATGAGACAAATTGTACTTATGAGGCTCTGTGTGTGTGTACATGTGGTTCACTTGCACTCACTGTGTTTATGGGTGTGTTGAAACCAAAGGTCAGCCTTTGGTGCTATCCACCTTGTTTTTGGGAGGCAGGGTCTCTCATTAGCCTGGAGCTCACTCATTATGCTGGGCTGACTGGTCGTTGAGTCTCTGGTATCCAGCTGTATCTGCCTCCTAGTCCTTGGAGTACAAATGCATACCATCATGGCTGGATTTCTATTTGGGTACTAGTGATAGAACCCAGGTCCTCATGCTTGCACAGTAAGGACTTAACAACCTGAGCCATCTTCCTAGCTCTTATACTAGTTTTTGTAGAAAAACAATCTGGTCAAAGAAGTTAATGATGTGTCCAAACATCATGAAGAGGAAGTGCTTAACTTGTATCCCATGGAGCAGAGGGTAGCCACAAGCAAACAGATGGGGAACTACACCTATAGTGGAGGTCTTGTCCCAGGCTGATCTTCTGTCTCTGAGTGTCCCTTCCCACTGGGGAGATTCAGCTTCAGTTGCTACATCTGGTAATTGCAGGACAGATAGCACACTTGTCCTGTGTGTCACATGGCACAACTCAACGCATGGGAGTCTGTAGGGCTCTCACATGTGCTCTCATGTCATGCCCGCACAGCAAGCATTTGTTCTTAACTTTATCCAGACCCTCTTCTGCAGGGCCCTAGACTTTGGTTTGGGACATTTGGATTCTATACTAATCTTCTTGTGCTGCCATAATAAGTAACTGCAGGCCGGTTGGCTTAAAGAGCAGACATTTCTCACAGTTCTGAAGATGGCAAGTCAGGAGCCTTTGTTTCTCCCGAGGCTTCTCTGCTGGGCTTAGATGATGTCTTTCCTCCAGATCCCCTCTGTGTGTGTCTGTGTCCTCGTCTCCTTCTCTTACAAGGACACCAGTCATCCTGCCTTGTAGAGGATCTCTTTACACCTTTACTACTTCTCTAAGGATCGTCTATCAAATATCCTCAGGCACTTACACACTGGGGATGGATGGGTGTGGTATCACAAACAGAAAATTTTCAGGGATTTCAGACCCAAACTATAACCTTATGTATAAATCAGAGGCCTGGAAATTTCACTCCCAGTGGCATTGGCCGTCACTTTCTCTGGTAGCATTACAAGGTTTACCGACAGTAGAGATTCAGTGATTCCTGGAGTTGCATGTCCTGGAATAGATGTCAACAGCCCCTATGCTTGTTAATATTGGTTGCCAACTTGGCAGGCTCTAGAATCACCCATGGAAAAAGCTTCTGAGCATGATTGGGAAGGACCTTCCGGATTTGGTTGACTGGGATGGGAAGACCCATCCTGAAGTGGGTGGCACTGGTCCACAGACTGAATCAAAAGGAGAAAGCAAGTTGAGCAACAGCATCAATCTCTCTCTTCTTCCTGACTGAGGATGTCCTGTGTCCGGCTGCCTCACACTGCTGCTTCGGTAAGTTCCCTGAACGATGGGCTATATTTTTAAACTGTGAGTCAAGTAAACCCTTACTTCTTTAACTTGCTCTTTTTGAGCATTTTGTTAATGCACTGAGAAAACTAACTCAGACCCTTGACTGGAAAGGAACCCCGTTGACTGAAGGTTTTGATGGAGGGTAGATGAAGGCACTGTGATATCCTGTAGATGTTAACTCTCCAGCAAGGACAATAGCACTCTCTGCTTTTACTTCAGCTAGGTTTTCCTTTAAATACATTTGGTTGCTGGCCTCCTACAATCTGTTCTCAGCATGTCTCAGCCCCTTTCCACTAGTGAGTCAAGGTGAGCTGACCTGAGGCTCTTGAGCTGCCACAAGAAGTTAGAAACCGGAGAAACTGCTCCTGGGGCTCTCCAGGCGAAGCCTGAGGCTGGCAGCTTAATGGGGCCGAAGTAAGGGCTGGGCAGCAGGGTTGTGTGGCCTTAGCTCCAAGGGCCTGTGAAATATTTGCTGATGGATGGAACAGCAGCTAGAGCCTTGCTCGAAATAGCTCCCTGGACATGAGCAGTCACAGCAGGACTTCTTTGGAATCTGTAGCATTTTGAGAGAGGGGGCAACACTGGACATTTTGCAAAGGAGAATTAGGCACATAACAGGGCTTGGGGCACTTGGGCTGGGAGGACAGAAAAGGGGCACTAGGTAAGAGAGGGGTGACTGTCCACCAAAGAGTGTGGGGAAAAGAGAGGCCTGGGTTAGCAAGAGGAGTGGTCCAGACAAGGGCTGAGCTGAGGTAACGCTTCTCGGTCAAGGCTGCTATCCCAGGGGTCATAGAGGGAGCAATGCACAGTCAGGTTGTCCCCTCTGGGACTGCTACCCTAGGATGTGCAATCTGCTTTACAGTTGGAGTGGATGCTTAGGGAGTCAAAGCGGTCTCAGGGAAGCACAGACACGCAAAGAGAGAGCACTGTTTTGTTTGTTGCAGTTCTAGAGTCTGGGAAGTCCATGTCAGACACAGAAGATTCCATGTCTGGTAAGGGCTCACTTCCTGGTTTGGCATGGTGTCTTGTCTCTGTGTGGTAGTCATGTAGCCTCTTTTAGAGGACACTGTCCCAATCATGGGCACTCTCCACCCATCAGAATGTAGCACTAGAGTCCAGCTGTTGCTCAGGCTCGTTACCTTTCATCAGCTCTTCTCACAGGCACACAGGCATGAGGCTCTCACTGACTGGCTCATGACAGACTTCTAGGTGCCAGGAGCCCTTGGCCTGGAGTGAGTTTGTGTGTGTATGCTTGCGTGTGTGTTTATGCGCATGTGTGTGTGTTGCTTGTGTATATGTATGCCTACATGTGTGTATAATGTGTGTTTGTTTGTGTGTGTGTATGTTTGTGTGTATATGTGTTTGTATGTTTGTGTGTATATGTGTGTGTATATGTGTGCATGTATGTGTATATATGTGTGTGTATATGTGTGCATGTATGTGTATATATGTGTGTGTATGTGTGTGTGTATGTATGTGTGTATATGTGTGCCTGTATATGTATATGTGTGGTGTGTATATGTATGTGTGTATATGTGTGCCTGTATGTGTGTGTGTGTGTGTGTGTGTGTGTGTGTAGATCTAAGGACAACCTCAGCTGTTGTCCTTCACATAAACCTGGGTTTTTTGAGGCAAGATTGTTTAGCCTGGAACAGTTCAGCTTGGCCAGCTGACCAGCCAGCCCCAGGGATCCTCGTGCCTCTGCTTCCCCAGCACTGGGAATACAAGTTCATGTACATTGCCTGGTTCTTCCCCTGGGTTCTGAGGCATCAAGATCAGGCCTTTCTGCCCTTTAACAGTGGAACCATCTCCGCAGCCTGGCGTTCTGTGTCCTGAGTTTGCCTTCATTGATTGTTCAGTGAGATCCCAGGGCTTTTATGATTAGAAGAGGGTGAGACTCGGGTGTGTGAGGAAGCTTGGCAGAATACAGTCCCCTGGCGGTGGCTCCTTCATGGTGGCACCTTCCGTGCTCACTTGCTTCTGTGTTACTAATGCTGTCCTTCCCTCTTGGGGTCAGGCTGGGTGAGGGGGCACTGCAATAGATCCTCGTCCTTTTGACCCAAAGCAGACCCTCTTGAGCTGGTTTATTTGCTGTTTCCTTTCAGTGGAGACACAGCCAAGTGCAGGGCATCCTAGGGTCAGGCTGCTCAGATGAGCGACACCAAATATGCCCCATCGTAGTTATGTGACATGACTCTCAAGGCAGAATACAAGCAGGTGAAGGACCTCTGTGGAGTGAGGACCTCTGTGGAGTGGAGAACAGGATCTCTCTTTTGGATACCCAGGCTTTCACCAGCTCTCAAATGGCCGTAAAAGGGAAAGATGCCTCCAAGGGGCTGCATTTTAATTCTAATTTTTAATGCATGGATGGAAAGCCCAGCTGGTATTATTTTCCATCCTGATGAGGTGCCAGAGGGGCTGTGGTAATTTTTCCTTTTCAAGGGGTAAAAATGTAGCCTCGTTTTTCTTCATTCAGGGAACCGCTGCTTTCCTGAGACCCTTCTCACACATGACACAGTGGTAGACAGATGCTTGCACACTGTTCAGCACGTTTTCTGAAAGTTTTTAAAGAAAAGAAATTAATATTATTGATCTTCATAAAAAGTGTTGTTGAGATGGCTTAGCAGGTAAAGGTGCTTGTTGCCAAGCCCAAGCATCAGAGCTCAATCCTTAGGACCCCCATGGCGGAAGGAGAGAACTGACCCCCAGCAAGCCTGCAAGCTGTTCTCTAACTCCCACGTGAATGTCATGACACAAGCATGTTGCAACCCTCCCCAGCCACGTGCATGTCATGACACAAGCATGTTGCAACCCTCCCCAGCCACGTGCATGTCATGACACAAGCATGCTGCAACCCTCCCCTGCCATGTGTATTTCATGGCACAAGCATGCTGCAACCCTCCCCAGCCATGTGTATTTCATGACACAAGCATGCTGCAACCCTCCCCTGCCATGTGTATTTCATGGCACAAGCATGCCGCACACCACTCCCAAGCCATGTGTATGTCATAACATGAGCATGCTGCAACCCTCCCCAGCCATGTGTATTTCATGACACAAGCATGTTGCAACCCTCCCCAGCCACGTGCATGTCATGACACAAGCATGCTGCACACCACTCCCAAGCCATGTGTATGTCATGACACATGCATGCTTCAACCCTCCCCAGCCATGTGTATTTCATGACACAAGCATGTTGCAACCCTCCCCAGCCACATGCATGTCATGACACAAGCATGCTGCACACCACTCCCAAGCCATGTGTATGTCATGACACATGCATGCTTCAACCCTCCCCAGCCATGTGTATTTCATGACACAAGCATGCTGCAACCCTCCCCAGCCACGTGCATGTCATGACACAAGCATGCTGCACACCACTCCCAAGCCATATGTATGTCATGACACATGCATGCTTCAACCCTCCCCAGCCATGTGTATTTCATGACACAAGCATGTTGCAACCCTCCCCAGCCACGTGCATGTCATGACACAAGCATGCTGCACACCACTCCCAAGCCATATGTATGTCATGACACATGCATGCTTCAACCCTCCCCAGCCATGTGTATTTCATGACACAAGCATGCTGCACACCCCCATCCCCACCATACACAGTCAATATACTGTCAATATAACATCTCTAAGCTGGGTTGAGTTTTTGCTATCCCACTTCTCCCACTTCTCATTGTATTGAGTCTTGGGTGTTGGCAGGTCACATGGGACAGAAGACTGGCTATCTAGAAATGTGCTCCTCTTTCATAAGCCCTAGGAGAGGGCGTTATTCCAAGGGCAGTGAAAGAAACCAGAGAAGAAAAAGGGAGATGTGGCTGATGTTTTTAGCAGGTGATTGAATCACAGGCCCAAGGACAGGCAAGTTTCTCTAGCAGTTCGTGGAGGAAACAGTCTGTTGCATGCTGCATGGGTGGTAAACACACTTCCCATGCCATGTTAAAAGGCTCATTTGGGCTGCTTCTCAGCCAAGGAAGTGTAACTGGACCCCAGAGCTCATGCTGACTGTCAAGGAGACAGGGATGGAATCTTTAAGTTGTTGCATTTAGAAAGCCTGAACTCTGAGAAGTAGAGGGATAACACACTAAAAACCACTCACCTCCCAGTGGTTCCCAACCTTCCTAATGGTTCAACTCTTTAATACAGCTCCTCATGTTGTGGTGACCCCAACCATAACATTATTTTTATTGCTACTTTGTAACTGTAACTTTGCTACTGTTATGAATCATAGTGTAAATATCTGATATGCAGGATATCTTATATATGATTGCTATGAAAGGGTCATTAGATCCTCCAAAGGGGTAGTGATATGATGATTGAGAACCACTGCCTTAGGGACTAGAATACTACTAGAATTCTGCTCAGTTGATGCAGTGTCCAACTAACTTCCTTCTAAATAGCTAACCTTATACCCATAGGTTAGTGTGGCTCTCACTTTTGCCTCTCCTCAGAGAAGCTTCTTTTTTTTTCCAGAGGGAAGATGTTAATACAGAGACCTTCAATGGGTCAAAGTGGCTGCTCAGAGCTAAAGTCTGAATGGATGATGTCCATGTTACACACCCCTCCTCCTGGGGCTCAGGGAAAAAAAACAGAAGAGTGGCTTAAAAGACAGTAAGAGCTAGTGGACCAGGACTGCTGAAAATGAATGTCTTGTAGATATGATGGAGATGTCTCACCCATGAACTCTCAACAACAGTGATAGTCTTCACAAGACGTACACCATACAAAATTGCAGCAAGGATGGGGTGGGACTTACAAGACCCCACCCATAGTTGAGAGCCAGTGGCAGTTGATGGCTGCTGGAGAAGGCATAGTTTCTTCAGGGATGTGTTCTCTTGTGGGTTGTCCATGTTTCAACGGATAGGCTTACACAAATGACAACACTGATTGTTCTCAGTGTCTTATAAACAGAAGAGGGTATGCAGTTGGGAGGGGGAGGTGGGGGCATCTGGGAGAGATTGGAAGTGGGG